TATATATATATCACGGCAATACATTTACGCTTCTCTCTCTCCCTCTCTCTTTCTCTCTCTCTCTCAGATTTGTAGATGTGTGTGTAGTTTTATGTAACTCACGCAGTTAGTTCTAATGCGGCTACTTTGGTCAATTGTTGCACGGCCGCTTTTGCCGCTATGTAGCTGGACCACCCTGCTCTTGGCGTCTGTAAAAAAAATTAATAGGTACGTTTTTTATCATAAAAAAATCACAAAGGGAACAAGAAAGGACGCATATGCTCTCACACCGGCTCTACTGCTTGTACGTATTCAAACCTGCCCCCTTTTGCTGTGTTTAACCGCTGTCACCGACCAATCACGTCGCCGCTTACTTTCAGGAGGCAACGTGATTGGCAGGTAATTTCCCCTCCAAAACAAGACGGGAGTATCTGATTGGCTGACGGCTGGCAAAACGCTAACGCAGTGGGGAAGGTAGATATGAATGGTATATTTCAATACTATCGCAAACATGGCAGTTAGAATGGCAGAATTGTGAACTTGTGACATGACAATAAATTCAGTAAGAGACATATTCATAGATGATCGAAAGATGGTACGCCAGTTTATTTGCACTGCTACTGAGGGTCAAATCAAACAAGTTGGCTAGGGCCGTTGTTTGATCTAACGGTGCAAATATCATATGTGTGCTGTTTGTTTTGAACAAAACAATAATTCATTAGAAAGGCAACATTTGCAAGCAAATACATAATGTTTACTCTAACACATTCATATATATGGTGACAGGAGTCTACATCAGCACGTCGGCCTGTACTGCACCTGCGCGAAATCCGTAATACATTGTGCATAGCACTTCCGCAGAATGTCCCATATAAGGTTGTATTCGCGCATATAAGGCTAACACTCCGTCTGTAGTTTCCGAATGTTATGTCGGAAAAAATATCGTCTGCAACAAGCAAAATTCTAATGCAACGTTGACCAAAAATCAACGAAAACCGTGAAAAATCGGGATTCTGCGCAGGCGCAGTACGTTCTGCCGACGTGCTGTCTACACTCCTACTAAAAAATTGCAACATCATGTAACCCAACACCAGTTACCATGGTGACAGACCTCAGCTATTCTGCTGGCAATAGTGATGATGGATCCGTTGTTAACCTTGTTGTCAATCATCGCCCTTGCAGCGGCTTGCATGGTCAGGAACGTCCCCTGGCGATTTAGAAAAGTACGACTTTGAGAACCAAACTATCATATTATTTGTTCAACCTTCATGACCACGTAGATTTCATAATGAAGGCTAATTTTTTGCCAATTTTTTTTATTCGCACGCTCGCATCAGTGTTGAGGTTCCCAGAGGATGTCATCCATATAATCAAATGAACATGGCCTAATAATAATAAAAAAGATTGAAGATACGTAGTATAAGCCCCGACACATGTCTTCCGGGCAACTAAACTAACTTGTTAGTCTATTAACAGTGTGCGTGGACTCACAAGGGGTTAGCAGACAAACCTTGAGATTTAGATCTATCGTGAAGCTGAAGGACTTTTCCGACATGTCCAGGATATTCCCAACCCCCAGGGGAGTCCCTCCTGCGATAGGCGCCACGATACTGGGTGCGGTCTTGTACTCACTGCAGACGACTTTAAACATCTCTTGGACCTATGAAGGGTTTAATAGAATAACGTTAGATGGTATTTGAGACTCTCCTTAAAGCAGTTGGTTCAGTTTAATCGGCGTATTTTAGTACACTAAATCCACAGCTTAAAGCATGTATAAATGTCGAAAATGTTCTTAAGTAGGATTCCGTGCAGTGAATTCTTAGTTAGCTGTTATTTTTATGATTCGTGATAGAAACAAGGGGGACAAAATACAAACGGTTGGTTGATCTGCAATCGACAAATTTCTGTTTTAGAAATCGGTGCCCTTTCATTTATTCATTAATCACATTTTTTTCAAAAAGATATACAAAGAAAGATCGCACACTTCAAATTGAAGTTCGATTCAAAGCACTCATGTTCCAGACGTTTCTTACCGCCTCTGAAGACAACACATCAACTTCATACTCCCGGTGGCTTGTGGGATCGCCCTGCAGTACCGACAAAGTCTCCTTGGCGGCGCTGCTGTTGATGTCGGCAACAACAACCTTGGCTCCTTCCCGAGCAAAGGCCCTGCAGACGGCTCGGCCTATGGCACCACCTCCCCCTGAAAACGTATCATCAGACTTTCGAATCCCATTGCACGAAAAGTGGGATTTCTCACTCACTCACTCACTCACTCACTCACTCACTCACTCACTCACTCACTCACTCACTCACTCACTCACTCACTCACACTCACTCACTCACTCACTCACTCTCACACACACTCACTCACTGGCTCACAGCTCACTCAGTCACTCACTCACTCTCACACTCACTCACTCACTGGCTCACAGCTCACTCACTCACACACTCACTCGCTCACTCACTCACTCACTGGCTCACAGCTCACTCATTCACTCACTCACTCACTCACTCACTCACTCACTCACTCACACACACTCACTCTCACTCACTCACTCTCACACTCACTCACTCACTCACTCACTCACACACTCACTCACTCACACACTAACTCGCTCGTTCACTCACGCACGCGCTCACTCACTCACTCTCACACTCACTCAATCACTCACTCACTCACTCACTCACTGGCTCACAGCTCACTCACTCATTCATTCATTCACTCACTCACCCACTCACTCACTTGTTACAGTACTAAAAACTAAAGAAATTTACAAAAAAAGAAGACATAATTATAAGTGCTCTTCCAATAAAGCCGACCCCGAGCCAAGATGGGATTATACTATAGTAGCTGATTGGGTGACGTCCCTCGCGTTCTCAATACATAGTTATATCACAACGACCCCCTAACATTGGCAATGAGATTCAGCTTACCAGTCACAAGAGCCAACCGCCCCGCCAGCCGCCCTTCTTTACTTTCCGCCATACTTTGTTTAGTTCGTCCTGGCTCTGGTGACCTTTGAATGAGCAGGGAACTTTAATCTCTGCACTCACAGTCGCTCGCTTACGTTAATTACCGTGCCTTAACACAACCAGTTGAGCCACTGTGGATCAATCACGCATGGGGACGCTCGTTTCCCAGTAACCGTCTCTCGGCGGCAAAGTCCCTCGGCGACAAAACCTCCCCTCCGCGGTATAGAGAAGTTTATTGCAAATTACAAACATAAAAGAACAATGAAACAGAGCATAAAGGAACTAAAATCTTCATGAGAAAAGGTAGTTGTCTATAGCCGCATGTCAAAAACTATGTCTAAGGGGTTTGACTTCTCCTTTTTAGACCATGGAAGACGTAATGTCCCACCTTTTCCAAATTTAATGGGTTTTGGGAAGTTAAATGAAGAATGTTGGTATAACTCGCGTCGCTCACCGAAAAAAAATAACGCTGCCGTATCAGAATGAATATCCCTTCCTGTGAATGGTATAACCCTGCTTCCCATGATGCACAGTCACCACGCCATTTTGAGCATTTTCGCGGGAGGCAGTAACTTGCGAAGTCTGACGAAACAGCGAAACTGGACGTGCTTTTTTGAGCCCGAATGTTGGCCTAGCTGGTCTATAGGCTACAGGGAAGATGTGGATCCTTTCCAACACCTCACAACCAGGTTTCTACTCCGTTTGGTGCCCAGCGCACAAGCTATTTTCCAACTTTGGTCCCAGCTCTATATTATTTGCCCCCCCCCTCCCCTGTACAAATTTTACGAAGTTAAAGTTCTTTTAATATTATGCACAGAAAGCTGTTTCTTTCTACTAGATTCTAGAGCTGACGTTGCTTATTTGTATACAACAAGAATAAGTATTTTATCTACACGTATCTCCTAAAGCTAAATACTAGTAATAGACACTAGACATACCCTAATTTTCTTGTTGATAACCATGTTGCATGTATATACATTTGTATCTCAGAGAAATATACCATTGAAGATATGTGAATTACTTTAGAAAAAGTTACCATACATATCATCTTCAGTACTGCTTAGCCTTCTAAAAAGAAGATTACTAGCAGCTGCGCATTAGTACTGTGTGCAAAGTGCAAACAAAGGGTAAGGTAGGGGTGGACGTGGACAAGTGCAAGGACAGGACAAGTGAAATCAGTGGTGCTAGTGTTACACGTATTTACATATGTACAAGGACCGGGAGGCAGCTCAATGCAGCGAAGCCCGTCCCAGCTCTGCTTTGAACTGGGAGATGGACTTCGCCTCCGCCACACTGGGCTCAAGTTCATTCCACTCCTTGATGGTGCGAGGGAAGAACGAGAGCCATATAGTTCTGTACTTTTGCTATGAAGTCCATATAACAATTTTGTGCTTTTAATTTGTATCATCAGATTGTGAATATCATCTCTTGGTCGGCCAAGAATACCAGGTTGGAAGAAAGGGTAAGAATCTTCATACCAAGTACTAAAAATACATGTAACATGTATCAAGTAATACCAGGGAGCCGAATGCGATCAAGGCTGATCAATTTCTATAAATACCACAACGGCTCATTGATCATTAATTGCTGCTCCAAACCCACCCCTAGCTGTTCCAAACCGACAAGACTCAACCATCCCGCATATCAGCTGTCCAGATGTCGGACATTGTATAGAGAGAGATCCTTCTTTCCACAAACAATCAGAGAGTGGAACAGCCTGCCGGCTCACACTGCTCTTAGTAGCAATTTAGAGGACTTCAAGTCCAAGCTGTAATCCCTCCCTTGAAATCTCCATTTCCTTAGTACATTACCCACCCCCCCTTGCGCAGTACACCCAAGAACGACATAATCTTCGACAAGACGAAGGAGGTCGTTTAAGGAAAGAAGAGAAGAAGAAGAGCTTAGAAAAGAATAAATTATAAAGTCATGCCTCAACGTTCAGAGTTTTCAACCAAGGATTGAGGTGTTCATGACTCATTTTTACTAGAACTACATTTTAGAGTGGAACTTTCTAGGCCTAGGAAAAAAAATGTGTTTCCTGTTTCCTGACCGACCCTAAAAAAACTGCCTACTCTACCCCTTGCTTTTTTTTAGCTCTTACAATCACTGTACTGTTTTTTTTTCCAGACTGCCCTATACTGATCACAGGTGATTCGTCCATTAGCCGAAAACATGCAGTGCTCAAAGTGTCCCATGTTGAGCCTAATCTGGTATGTATCTTTGTAATGTTGCAATGGATTTCTCTTGTTTGTATGTATTAGCCTGTAGTGTTGTAGTGTCATAATCCTTCCTATTCCTATCCTTCCCCAAGAAAGTTGATATTTAGTGAGTAGTGGTAGAGGTCTTGATGGGACCTTGAAATTATTTGATTTTTGCTCTGGTTGCTTCTTATGGTACTAGTGCTATAAATCACACTGTATACTAGTATCCGCGGTCACTTCTGCACTGTGAATTTACATTGTATCATTACCGCAATTCGTGGACAGACTTTTTTCTTCTGCACCTGCCATCACCACGTGTAGTCGACATATAGTTCCGTGATTACCGTGAATGTGTCTGAATGTGACCGCGAAATTTTGCTACCATGAATATAAAGTGATTTACAGAGGAACTTCTAGTTTTGATCTGGACATGCTTGGCTCGCAGGGCGACCACAGGAAACTTCCCATCCTGACACTTCAGGATCTCTCCAAGTTTGGAACATCGGTGGGAGACCAGAAGGTCAAAGGTCAGGCCATTCTGAAGAGTGATGATGTCATCACCTTTGGTGCAGCGGTTAGCAAGTGGAAGTAAGTTTTCATTATAGTAATCACGCACTTTAATCATCAATTATTTACTTGTGTATGGAAGTGTGTGTTTTTGTCTCGATTGAGTAGGTTGACAGCACATGGGTCAGAGGAAGATTGACAGGCAGCATGAGGAGTTCAAAAGGTCCAACACAGGAAATATGAGTTAAACACTCTGCAGAGATTTGTAGTTTATTGAGTCCTGTTCGAAGTTTCATTTCGAACAGATACTAACCTGTCTATTTAGTGAAAAATGTTGTTTTTCTTGCACATTAAAGATCCCACCACACTTAACAAGAATAGTAGGGGTCCTTCCTGGTGTGAGTGGTTCAAACCTTACAGTCTGGTCTCGGGGTTGACATGTTTGTACAGTCAAATGTGGTAAATCTTGACAATTATAAGTCATTTTACTCTCTTCGATTTGTCTCCCACCAGAGTTCACTACCAGCCCCTGGTTGTGACCTCCTCCATGCTGGAAGCCTCACTGAAGAAGAAACTCAAGCAGCTTCTCCTAAGGCTGGGCGGCCATCTTGTCCCTGAGTGGAACAAGGAATGTACTCACCTTGTCATGTCCAATGTCAAGGTCACTGTCAAGGTGATTCATTACTGTTACTTTCAGGTGGAAGTATTGCTTTGGGTGGCTGAGTTGTGGGTTTGTGTACCCTAGTCCAGACGTAGTGAACATGAAAAAGAAAAATACCTCTGCAAGTCTGAAATCTCTAATTTTTTTCTAGCACTTGTTTTGCCCTCCGTAATTTCTACTTTTATTTATTGCTTGCTAATGACCTTGTAGTTGTCCTATTTGTTTTTATATCTTTTTTTTTCTATTCAGTACTTCTACATGTTTTTTTTTTTACTTTTCTAAAAGAATCTTCACTTTCCTGAAATTTTTAAGGTACTTATTCTCATAAACAACTTCTCCTGCTCACACAGACCATCTCAGCCATGGTGTGCTGTAAGCCTATAGTGACTCCTGGCTTCTTTCACAAGATGGTTGAAGCAGCAACTAGTCGAACACAGATACCAGAGCCTGAGGAGTAAGCCTGTTTTATATTTTTCTCAATAAGTGTATGCCACATCCAATAGTTAACATTTTATTCCTTTTTTTTTTATAACTGCCAGATATGTGATGCCATGCAGGGCTGGAAGTCCTTTTTTCTGCATACCTGCACTGGTACATACAGTCAGAGTTAAAGATTAGCTGCACCAGCTAGACAGTTTCTTTACCTTCCAGTTCATTAGAAAGGAGACATGTTTTGAAACAACTTCCTAGTAGTAATAATAATAAGTTCTCTGCTGTCTTAAATGATGATGAAAATTTAAATACCGGATTCAAGATTTGGGGGAGAGGGAGAGCACTCTTGCTTCATTGCTTGGGGAGAGCCCTGCTGCTTGATACATATTTTTCATGTTTTTCTTTTACATGTATGTCTATAATAATCCAACCCAAAGATATACATGAGAATGATCATTTGCTACACTAGTGTATAAATGTGTGAAGCTGTTTTTCTTTTGTGATTGACAGCTTTGAGCCACCAGTTGCTGAGACAACCATAAATCCGAACGAGGTGTCCTTCAAGTCCAACCGCGAGAGAAGGACACTCTTCAAGAAGTTGAAGTTCATCTTTTTCACACAAAAGCAGGTACAGTAACCTTTCAACCACTTTCTTTACAATTTTATGTTCTTCTCTGGTACTGTGAATTTGCGGAAGTACATAGTGAATTTCCTGACATGTTCGCACATGCTGGCCTTTTGCAGAATTTATAAAACGGCAAAGTTCTTGAGTCGTGGACCCTAGTCTAGTAGATGCCGTCCTCCATAGTTACCGCTGGCTCCCTATTGTCGCTGGCTATACTACTTTTTTTTGAGAAAAGTTAAAAATCAATGCATGCTCGGATGTCATCCATAAAATTAAATCAGTGTGGCCTAATGATGTAAATACTTGTTGAAAGTTTGAAAGGTTTACTTGTTTTCAGCTCAAACACCTTGGACAAGTCGTCAGCATGGGTGGAGGAGAGACTGTTTTGATGGAGGCTCCACCTCCTGACTGGAAGAGCTCATTTCTGGGAGAGGGGGTTGTTGTCATGTCATGTGATCCTCGCACCGTAACCGACGCCCAACAACAGAAGTGGATCAGAGAGAGCACAAGTTTTCTCACAAAGTTGGTTTTTCACTGAAACAATATAAAGAATGTCTTATTGCAATGTATTGTATTATAAGGCCACACCAATTTAATTTCTTGGTTAACGGATTTTTCTAGAAAAATAATGGAGCGGGCGGGCGAAAAAAATAAAAATAAAAACAGGCCTAGGCATCGTATTATGGCCCAAAATGGTACGATAGGAGCCATGAAGTCAACACACCAGGCTGGTTCAAAATTTAAACAATGAATTTTGAACTTTTAATGATACCATTGCATTGAAAGATGGAATAACTGTAACAACTAGGATGAAAAGGTCTGTTTTCAATTGTTCAGGGCAAAATACTAATATGAGCATTTTGCAGTTGATTTTGGATTTTTATTTTTATTTGCAAATCAGAAAAAAATGAAGCGGCGAATCCGTTAACCAAGAAATTAAATTGGTGTGGCCTAATGAACATTCTTAAAAAGACATAATTTCAGATTTTTTTGGGGTGCTTTTATGTTTGCGGCTTTGGCGGTCATGTTTACACTGTACATTGATTGACAGTAGTTTAATTACAAAATATGTCTGCCCTAGTTTTGTCAAATTCTTTTCAAAGGTTCACCTGACATTCTGTAGATTTTCAAATTTTCTGGTTTACTTTTGCAAATGATGCATTACTTTACCTATTTCTGAAAGATGTTTTGACTGGCTGATTGTACAGAAATGCTCGGCGTACCGTCCAGGAGTCAGAGGTGGGTCTGGCCGTGCTGCACTCCTCGGTCGATGCTTACTGTAATCCAGAGATTGACCCGGGTATGATATTGTTTACTTCCAAAAATAGTTTCATAAGGTTGGTAAAGTGTAGGATATAGGAATTTTCTTTTACACAACCAAAGGCGCCACCTACATCGGCTACATATAGCGTCGAGAAGCAGAACTCTAGTCAGAAGCTCTGAGGAAGGTATCTGATAGACACCGAAATGTAAGCACTTGTGTGGGACAATCTTGGTTGTGTAAAACTTTTGTATCCAATATTGTTTACTTTTTACGTCAGATATGTGGCCCATATCCACACAACATTGACAAGCATACAAAACTATATGTAACTGTCAAAACACTATATGAAGTTAAACAGAAAATACTGCCATATGCATTGTGAAAGATGACAGATTAGGCAAAATTTTGTCTGTCATGACAGCAAAATGCAGTCAAATAACAAAAAGACAGGCGCTGGCTACAACACTAGCTGCCACAGTGACTGTACACATATCTGTGACTAAATGTCGTCTGTCACTTGATAGGTTGTCTACTGTTCCAGTCGCAGGCCATCCCATCACAGTCTCTTTCCCAGAGTGCTGAGGTGTACGTGTCAAACACAGAATGCTCTCAGTCCCAGGGCACTGTGCCATCAGGGCGGAGTGTGGTCAGTGACAGTAATGTGTCAGGTGGGTATGACTCCTCTGTAGGCAGACCAAACATTAACAATGGAAGTACGTGCATTTATTTTCCGATTACTCAACAGTAATACATAGGGATAGAGACTTCTGCTGAATGGCCATGGTTAACAGATTAAGATAGAATAAGTTACTGATATCTCTGGCTGAGATCCAGAGACATGACTATTGACTGTGCATCTGATGATGAGCAGTCTTGATTAATGTTAGTCCCCTCTCTTATCAAGTTCCCCTTTATCTATAAACTTTGATATATACTGAGATATGCAGTGCAAACATAATATATCAGTATTTTCTAGGTGCAAAATTCCACATTCAAAATATTTTTACATGTAAATGTTGAAAATCATGTGCATTTTCATACTTTTAAATTATACTCCTACCCAGGCCAGTCCCAGATGCAGGCGGGGACAAGCCAACAGTCGTCACGACCCAAGAAGCCAACCAACCAGAAAAACACTCTGATGAGTTACTTTGGACCTTCTTCTTCCAAAAAAAGGTAACCAGACAGACCTTTTAGATAGAAGACCACAGCCTGATACTTGAGATTTAATTTTGAGTACTAGAAACTACAATACTATTATACTGTGAATCATGAAATATTTGATATGCTTTTAAGTTATTTTGCTGTCAAAAATTGAATGAATTTATAGTACTATGAGTGTATACTGTAACCAGCACGTTTCACCAACCTCAGTCTTTATTTCACAGGGTCAGGGAGGATTCAGAGGCAACTGAAGACTCGGAGGCCAAACAACAACGTAGGACGGAGGACAGCACAGAAATTACTGAGACTCCAAACACAAACGTGGAAGTGAGCGAAAAGAAGATTGAGATCAAACAAGAAAGATCGCCAATCCCGGCAACATCCTCCAAGACTGTACCACAAAAAGAGACAAATGTGGAAGCTAAGAAAACTCACCCACCTAAAGTAAAAGTAGAGGTATTGACACCTAGACAGCCAGAGGCAAAACAGACAGAAGAAAACGTGTCTTCAGATGAAGAAGAGGATCTTTTCGGACACGGACCCAAGAGGGAGAGAAGACGGCGAGAGATAGCTGGTTGGGAGGACGACGATCCTTTTGAGATGAGACCTAGTAAGAAAGAAGCTAACGAGACATGTGATGATGCAGTGGAGGAGAGAGGACAGGGGGAGGGCATGGTCAGAAGCCATGGCAACAGTAACTATGGCAACAGGGAGAGAGACAAACAGCATGCTGGCTGGGACAGTGACGATTCCCTTGAGATGGGACCAAGAAAGCAGGAAACAAAAGAGGCAAAATCTGAGGTAGTGGAGGAGATTGGACAAGGGGAGGGGGTGGTCGGTAGCCATGGCAACCGGAAGAGACCAAGAGAAGAGGAAGAGGGGGAGGATGAGCAATGGAGAAAAACTGTGAAGCAGCAGAAGCCAGATTTGTCTGTTCAGCCGGTATGTTGCTGTCGTCTTTTGGTTTCTGTTGGGTTTCTTTTGAATTTGAATGATACAATGTATGTTAAGTCTGTTAAGTTATTTTGCAATAGATTATTACAATCATTATCATCTGATGTATCTGGTGTTGATTCAAATTTATACAAAATATCCTGTTTACATCATGAACAGACATCTACAGCACGTAATGGAGCCTCTGCTGCAGAGGAAGATACAGAAAGAAAGACTACAACTTCCAAGATAAAGTTGGACATGGTTTGTAGAAAACTTTATTTTAGTATCCAAGTAGCATTTTTCCCTGTGGCCAGTAGAGGCCAAAGGTAGTATTAACTTATAAAACTTTGAAATGGAAAACATGGTGTTGTACATGTATGGGACAAACTGACAGAAATGCAGCAGGTCAAGCCTTATTCTGTTAGGCCAGAATGACTTAATTTTATGGATTGACATCCTCTGAAGGCCCTCAATCTAGTGCACCCCCCTGTTCTTGACTTCTGTGGAGCCTTGGCAAATTCAGGTACAGCCTGCATCTTGAAGGAAAGGAGCTAGGTACTTATTATGAGTGTCAAGTGATATTTATTTGGGCATATTAGTTTCTACATGGTCATGCAGTTTAAGGTAACTTTTTATAAGAGAACAATGTTGGGGCATGCTATGTGGTCTTAGATTCTATCCTACAACCTTAAGATATGATTATGAGTCAGTGGAGTCCCTAACAAGACCACCCTGCCTCTTTGAACCCACGTGATGTTCTTGCGATGTTTCAGAACCTGCCCTCCTGTGGTCAGCTGGAGGAAGACCAGCCATCCAACCTGACCACAGTTGACGTGGTGTCCCTGGTAGTGAGAAAGGCTCGCCCTGCCCAGCCCAGATACACGGAGGATGCACACGACCCCAACAAAACACCCGTCAAGAACTTCAAGAAGTTCAGGAAGGTCTGTGCTTTTTTTTTTAGTGTTCAGAAAATGTAATCTATGAATTCAGAAGTGTTGACATTTCTGTGTCATTCTGTTTTGCTATCAGTATAGCCAGTATACATGTACCGGTAACTGCCCTTCAGTGTAACACACCTTTCCAGCTTTTAAAGCTTTCTACCGGTACTTATAGTGATGATGTCTCAATTTTACATTCCGTGTACTTTGTGGCAACAAGTTACACTTTACGAGTTACACTTTTCTTTGAAAATACAACTTTTTGAACATCTCCATTCTACAGAATCTTAAGTTTGATTGTTTTTCACGGAATTGTTGCCCCTAGAGCCTGTGTCACTTTCCCATAAGCAACCAACTTCTCAGTTGGATGTTGGAAGATTCTGTAAAAACTATGGACTATGTATCACTGGATGGCAGTACAAACAGACGTGGCAAAATGTTCAAAATGTTAGGAGCACATACAATGACGTACTCTCACACATGGCCGCCATCCTGTTTCTTCTTTGTTTGTATTCTTCTTAGAACCTGAATGAATTTGACTCTGGAAACTGGATTTTTGTGCTTCACTCTTTCCAATCCTGTCCTCTCATATGGCCACTATCTTGTATCTCTTTCTTAGGTTCCGTATGTTGGGATGGAGAGAGCCCTGCCTCGCATCATCGGGGGTAACGACCTGGTGGTCCATGTTCCCACCAGGATCAGTAATGAGATGCACAACTTCTGGCTGGATGAGATGGAGGTGGGTTAAGTCAAAACTACTTCTGAGTCTCATGTTAGGCCTCAAATTAATAGTTGTTTCTGTTTTCAGCCCTGAAAAACTACAGTTTCTCTTTTTTTCCTTTGCCAAGAAGGTAATGTTTTTTACCGAGTACTACTGTAACTGTGTGAGGATGCAGGTGTCAGACCGGAAGACCTGCCCAGTGGTATGGAGGATAGGGAGGGCTGGTAGGAAAAGAGTCATGAACATCCGTGAAACTCTCACGACAAGACTACTGTAGATTATAAGTAGATTATCAGGCAATGACATCACAGTGAGCATGGCACCCAATTCGGAAACCATCACCATGCATGGTTTACAAAAAGACATGGTTTGAAAAGCAAACAGTGCTTTGATCATCGTACAGTTGCAAGATATTGCAGCCATAGTAACTGTTGAATTCTTCTTCTTTGGAGTCCTTTGTAGTCAAAGATGACTGTCTTCATCCTTATTTTACTAATAAGTACATAAATCTTTACAGGATGAGAGTCAAAGGGCAAAGGAAGAGGAAGAAGAAGATGACCTCTTTAAGTGAGTTCTCCTGAAATTCCTTGATGACTTAATTTGTGAAATTTATTCTTACTTCAGAATTGTTTTATTATTGTTAGTAGTTAAGTGTTTCATACAGGTAGTCACTCACTCACACTATCCTGGTTTAGATTATTCTGCTGCCGGTTTAGTATGGAGCAACTTTAAACTGTACAAATGTAATTTCCACTGCAAGAAATCGAACATACTAAAGTTTATGACTGTATAGAACTCAAGTCTTTGTCAAAAAATGAGCAATCCACCACTTCTGTGACGTCATGTTATGCAGCTAACACACATCATACTTTGCAGAAAATCTGTGGTTCTCCGTCTTTGTTGAGGGATGGTTGCAACTCTTATGTAGATGGTCTGTTTAATTCCTCGTATAAAAAAGTATTTTTATTTTTGTAGTATTTCCCAAGCACTTGCTTAACTTTGTTACATTTTTTATGGTTGCAGATTCGATTTCAACCAGAAGAAGAAGACAAGAAAGTGATGAAAATTTCAGCTCAAATGTAACTTGTGCAGATCTGTAGGTCTACATTCACATGTATCTCCAACACTAAGCATACTCAGACATATGTTTATAAACCTGTCCAAGGTTTAGAGAGATTATAAAACACTGAGAGGTCTACATGGAAATGGGTTCATGATTCTAATTGTGCATTAATTATAACACCAGCTGGAAGTCTTAGATGACTAAGTTCTAATTTGTCTAGACCATGCTTATCCATGTACATGTATATGTCCAGATATGTTTTGTATTACCCACACTTTGCAAACTTTGCAAAATTAACATTTTTGTTAAGTTAATTGTATTGGTAAAGCAAAACAACCTATAAGACAGTCTGTAAAGCCTGAGAGAAATCTTCAGATCAAAGAGTTTTGTAAACCGTCCACAAATACAGACATTTATATATTACATTAGGTTACCTAAGGTAGATTTGTCCACAATAAATGATATTATGCTGACAGTTACACGTATGTCCTGTATTGATTATGGGAAGAAGATGTATCCCAACTACATACATGTACACATGTACATTGATGAAGATTAGACATCCAGGTATTGAGATACGCAGCAAAACATCTACAGTAACTCAAGCAACTGGATAGATTAAAAAAAACTCGAGACGTTTTAGGCACAGTTTTCCTGTGTATCTGTATCCTAACTTTTAATTAGGATATGACTCTCCTCAAGTGCTGGTGTATATACATGCATAAAAGGTAAGATGATTTCTTTCTGTATTTAGTATATTGTGATAAATGTACTGATTTATCTATGATTTGACATCTGTTCTTATCATACTCCTTGAATCTTAACCCTATAATAGTTTGTCCTACAATTTATTCTGTTGTATACCAAAAAGCTCAAAATATGATCCATGATCAAAACTTTAGACCTACAATGTATGACTAAAATAAGACTTACAGGTATTAATACTGCTTATTATAGATTCTATTTTCAGATGTGTCGTTACTTGTAACAAGTAAAATGGCATAAACCTTAATATCTTGTGCCTTGTAGGATGAAGACTGGAAATCAACTTCAAGAATGTGAAGGCAAGTATAGTTTAGGCCATGTACTTGTATTATACAACACAAATATATAAAACTGAATTTGAAGGATTTTACTTATTACAAATACCCAGATTTTAAAGTCATTCTTGATAAGGCCTAACACTTTTTATGCAGTTGTATCATTTATATTACTGCAAAAATTGGAAACTGTCATAGATGAAACTTTTTTCTATAATATGTGTTTTTACTTTTGATTTAATACTTGCCACATCTGGGTCAATGATGACTTGTTAGAATGTATGACCCTTGTCAACCCCATGTGATGTCTCACAATAACAAGCCTGCAACTTGTACACAACAAAATACATGTTTACATTGACAGATTCAGGTGTAAACATTTTCTGTGCACAAAACATTATTGGCCTGGAAGAATGCGCAGTCTGGAGTAATAGACTTGTTTGCAAGAAGATGGGGCCGACATTTTTTCTGAATGTGCAGATTTGTATTGTGCAGGTGTCCATGGGGTTTGGTATGACTGTAAGTTTTCAAGCTGAGACCCAGATTTTTGGCATTGCTTTATTACATTGCTGAGATTTGTTGGAAAAAAACTGGCTGATAAATCTTTGAGATTTTTGTACCATTTTGAAAAGAGGATAATGTATTCCATTCTTCAATTAATAATAATTATTTTGATTTATCTGAAGTCATACTCATCAGCATATACGTGTGATACTTTGCTTTGCAGAGCAAGATTTGGACTCCCGATTCCCATGTCACACACAAAATGGTAAGTTACATTTTGCAGTAACAGCTTTTTTTTGCCAAACAATTTAATTTTTTTATAAACATAGAAAAGGGTCGATGATGAGGTAGTAAAAGGTCTGACCACATTCTGTTTCCATGGCAACCCAGTCACATGACCACTCCCATCATGCTTTGTGGCAAAGGTGCTGGATTCGTAAGTCCAGTGTCCAGCACACCACGGTAGCAAACAGTAACCCTACACAAGCAGACTCCGTATTCACACAGTTCTGTGGTGAGCCAATGGCAGGACTGTATGGAGGAGGCTGTACATTTCAACAGGGTGGTCCTGCGATTGGCCATGGTTGCATTTGTGGCATGATCGTTAACAGCAAGGCTGAGACCCACATCAATCTTCTTTTTTCATCGATAAGCTATTTTGCTTGAGTTCGTTGCCATTATGCATTGTTTTGTTTGAGTGTCAAAATTAATAAAAACCAAATGAATGAATGTATCAAAGAACTCTTCTGGGCATGTGTAGATGTGTATTATCCCAACCACAATTCTCTGGCTCTGTTACAGCCACAGTGATTCCAACGAAGCGTGAAAAAGAAAAGTCGACTGGTTTGGAAAGGTCCATTCCGTACCCAACAGGCACACAGTGCTACTCTGGCAACTGGGGGGGCCTCATTTCGATTGGGAAGTAGGCCATCTGCTGCTGTGGAGCGGCACATATGACTGTCGGCGATATCGACACTAGCAATCCGTACCGGGCTCAGCAAATCCAGTGCACCTGCAGCTACTGAAAGCCCTTTGAGTGGTGTGCTATTAATGTAAGTTCATGACTTGTATAAAATGTATGTTAGTGCCATTCTCAAATTGTATCTTCATTTTCTTTCACTTTTGATGTAGCATTCGACTGCGTTAATGTCCATTTCATTCTTCTGGTTCATTTCACGTTCATCTCATTCTTAATAATTCTTTGGCCTTGCAGATGCGCGTCAGGGGTACGTGGAATTATCAAATCTGGGCATCTCCCCACACAGGCTGTTGACGTCACAATGTTGTATTTATTTTATTATGAATAAATCGAACTAAACGGTACTTTAATGTGTCTATGTTTTACTGTTATTGAAGATTTGATATCTCGCGATCTGGACATTCTAGGGCCTTGAATTTTAGAGGTAGCCAGGTAGCTCGGGAAGAAGTCAAGTGAGTTTGGGCTCCATAGCAGCCGACAGGTGTTTATTTTAAGAGAGGAGACCTGGGTTCTTCTATTTCCTCTTTTCCTCTTTAACAGTCTTACGTGTCAGAATAGTTTGTTTAGCATGCTTGTTTGGTCCACGCAAGGAATGTCCTTGGCCAATGATGTCTGTCGACCCAGATCCATTATACATACAGTCACCTACCTCGCAGACAGTGGGTTTTAATCTGTACATATTGAACATATATCTGCATATTTTGAGTGGCGACCTCCAGACGAGCAGTATGGCCTCGGAAGTCTAATATATATTTCTCGGAAGTCTCAGATATTTCTTGAGAGGCAGTTGAAGACGAATTTACCCACCTCTTCCATGATATGAGGGTTCTTTCATTTAAAAATGCAATGAAGAAATGGTATGAACAAAGATGGGATGACATTAACATGATCTTTAAGTCATAACCTGACGAAAACCTACATGTAGCTATAGAAAAGCAATGTGTCCAGAACTCAAAAGTCTGTATTGCCCATAACATCATTGGAGTATCCTTATTGGTAACTGTCCGTCCTTTTATTTTTGCAACACGTGTATATTTCAATAAAAGGTATATGTAATGTTACAAAGCAAATGCCGTTCGAATATGAATTTTCGGAGATATGTGTAGATTTTAGTCATGAAAACTTTCAGTCCACATTCCGTTCTTTCTTTTCTTCTTTAAAGTAGCTGATTGTCTGAATGGATTGATATAGTGTTGTAAAAATAAGTATCTTTAATTAAAAAAAAATATTATAAAGGCCCACAGTGTGGGTGTAGCATGATAGGTCTTTGGTCCAGTGTCCTGGATTCATAATTCATACATTTTGAAAACGGCTGCGTTTTTATAATCTATGCATTCTTTTGGGTCCGGGTCGCACGTATATATGTTGGTGGATCACCCGTATATATGCTGGCGTGTTTTTATTTTCGCACAGACCAAGTGACTACTGGTACTTGCCGGGTAAACTACAAAGTTCGACCCTCGCAATCTTCGGAAGCAGCCAGAGGTAAAACTATTCAGAGAATCAATAGCTTTTCTACGTTTCGCATGTATCTGTTTGAAGCAGTCCGCCCCATCAGAAGAGTTAAATCTTTCAGTTATGGCCCCCGTTATGCCGCCGCCCTTTTAGCACGTTTTCGCATCGGCACCTGCGGCTTGAATGCCATACTCTCCAAGCAGAGGTTTTTTTTTGTGTGTGTTTTTAGGCTTTTTTTTTATAGGGATTTCTTTTTTGCACTGTAATTTTTTTCACCCAACGCAAGTTGGGTTGCGTGAAAAAAAACTCCAGTACAAAAAAGAATGCCAGTCGTAGGGGTATCAACAGCCCGGCTTGCAGCTGCGGGTGCCGCTGCGATTGTATCTCCCACTTTTTTTTTACTTCACTGCCCGCTACTTAGTAATCAACGCCTGTGCCTTTTCGGCAAGCTTACTAGGATGATAGGACTCTGTTTAGACATTAATTCTCTTTCTGATGATGCTTTAATACACCTTTTACTTTACGGGTTCTGTTTCTCACTTACACTAAACTTTGTCTTTGCTCTCTTCTACAGGACGACTACTGTAGTCATCTACTGGTAGTTGATATTCAAAATTTGCGTACCTTTTAGTTGTTGTCCTTTTCAACACATCTGTCACAAAGCATCCGTTTTTTTTCCATACGGGGAAATAATCTGTATTAGATTTGGTATAAGACGAACCCCACTATCAACAATTAACAGTGACGTGGTAAATTAAAAGCAGACATTGGCACAGCAACTATATTTTTTCAAAAGCTGTAAAACGCCAGTTGAATATAGAATATTGCCAAACTGGTCCAAAATGGCCACATTTGCGAAGAGCATTGGAGCTGTAATCGTGATTTTGTCAGTATATCTAACATTTCCACGAGGAGTTCTCTCTTCGCGGATTCGTACTGACATCGGATGCCGAAGCTTTCGACCAGATGTCTGCAAAAATTCGACCTGTCCTAATACTAGTATTCGCAATCTAGTAGACAACATGGGTCGTAGGTGGTGCTGTGTCGTCTGCAGCATGTCAGGTTTCGAGAACTTCAGGTCACTTGCGTGTAACATTCCGCCCACTGCCTTGTCTCTCAAACTGACTGACGTAGCATCCACCAACCTGTCTGGTTCTTTGGTCCCCGGTGACACCCTACAAAACATTCGCTTTCTAGACATTCGTGGGGGTGAATCTGACGAGTCTAGCACCATCAGGTCTGGGGAGATTCACAGCCTTACATTGGTTGCAAGTTCACCACACGTCACTGAGCTATTTAGCTCGTGGTGGATTCAACGGTCTAAAAAATCTGTTACAATTAAACGCGTCATCCAATCAGATTTCTTCAATTCACCGTGGGGCTTTTCATGGACTGAACCGTACCTCTGTTCTCGACCTTTCGCACAACCGATTGGTTAAGTTAGAGGATCATTATTTCGAGAAATTAGAAATGTTGCTAAAGCTGGACCTGTCTTATAACAAGATAGAGACGATCAAGAAAGGTGCTTTTCAAAACGCATCTTTGAGCGAACTGTGTCTGAAGGGTAACAAATTGAATAGGGTCGAAAAGCAGTGGTTCTTCGGCACACGAAGAATATTCAGGTTAGTTCTAGATGAAAATTTGATCACCCTTATAGAGCCAGGAGCCTTTCGCAGTCTTGGGATATTCGCATTATGTATGAAAGGCAATCCATTGACGGTTTTGTGGGAATCTTGGCTAAGAGGCCTAAGGTTAGAGCGACCAACAATGCTGTTTTGGGAAGGAACTAGACTACGCTGTACTTGTGCAAATCGCTGGTTCGCTATCTTAGGCAGGATGTACTTTACTCTTATCCCTGCTATTTTTCCCTGCCACCACCCACTGGGAATGGAGGGCAAAGACATCTTCTCCGTTCCCACAAACGACTTGCCATGCCCCTCGCCTGTAGTGAAGATTACGCAGGACATTGATGATAATGATTTACAGTTTCGGTGCCAGGCGACTTGGGAGGAAGAGAGTAGTATCTTCTGGGTCCTACCAGATAACACTACTATTGTGTTGCCGGGTTTAGGTGAGAATGAAAGAAACGCCAACCTCATGACTTCTCAGCACTTCAACATTTCAGTCCAACACGACAAAAGTGCTTGTGGATGGACATGGGAGACGCCGTCCCATGTAATAACTACAAATTGCTCACACAAACAGACAGCTCCAAACTATGGTGTAAGGACGGTGTCTGTGTTAGCTGTAGATGTAGAACTTGCCGGACAGTGGCAAGGGAGATCTATCCGATGCGGTGTAAAGTCGTCCGCTGGCACTTATTCCACTCGAATACTAGTACTTGTCCCAGACAATTTCAGTGCGCTGCATGTGGTACACAAACTGGCCACCTCTGAGAGAAGTAGCACGAGTACGCCCACTCATTCAACAGTCGTCAACACTAAAGCCCCCACACACCCCATCATAGTATTTCTTCCTACGAGAGTTAAGACATATCTGAATGTTAACTGGTACGTGATTGTTCCCCTCTGTACAGTACCCATTCTTGTCCTTTTCGCAGTCTGCATCGCTCTACGGAATAAACAGAATATCTATAGGGAGGAACATGCGATGGTCGAACTGCGAAGTAACAACCAACCGGGTAATGCCTCCGAAAATGTACCCGAAAATATGGCTGACGGAGCTACCGCCGAAAGCACTGCAATTGACCCATATTACTCAACGATAAAGGATGAAGACCTTGATGAAACTGTTAGCCCGTACGGGATAGCCAAGGCAGGTGCCCAGTACGGCCGTGGGAAGAAAAGGTCGCGTATTGTTAGAGAGAACGCTGCCGCCGGTGTTTCGAAGGATCAATAGAGAAGAGCGAAAGAAGAAGAATTACCGCAATTAACTATAGCGATGATTTTTTTGCTTACACATGTATCATATATATTGTGAATATTTGTACACATTCGTTATTGCATATTGTATCCTAATACTACTATAAGGGAGCAGGTGCGAGAAATATGTGGTAGAAGTAACAACACGGTTTGTGAGGCTTGCGAAGAGAAAGTACTAGTAGTGCCACATAAAATATTACTTGAAAACGAAAATATGGCCTTTACATAGATATTTCAATACCAAGAAGTAGCCCAATACATGTATTTGTGAGTACAAATACGTCAGCTGATACTATTAGCATTCCATTTTCGTGATCGTTTTTTATAGTTTAAACTTTGTTGTAATTTTGAATCCTTAGAAGTTTATGATTACACAAAGAATGAAGTGAACACACATTGCATTTTATATTTGTCTGTATTCATTATTCAGATGTAACGATTTATTATTGTCATTTTACTTTTTCATGTAACACTGCTTAGGCCTGCTTAGCAATAGCAAGGAGGTTAACCTCCTTGGCAATAGCTATGAAACCTCTTGACAACTATCAACATAGTCTCATATGCTCAGTAATGTTAATTTCGAGTACTAGATAGTTAGCTATTTCTATTAAATTGTCTACTCGTATTTATATTCATATTAAATACTAATACATACTAATTGCTGCTCTTGCTAAAGTGAAATATTTTGGCCATCATATCATCAAATCAACATGGCCTAAAATATCCTAAATTGGACGAAAAAAAAAAAGCTTGGCTGAATAAAAGATAGTGCGACATTCGGCCGTCCGCCGATTCGCAGGATCTGGATTCCTCCGGTCCCGTGACCTCCTCATGACCCCAAGGTGTGCCCCGGCTAGCTTCCGGGTTCGCTGCCTGCCTTTAGTTTTTGTAAAAAAGAAACCTCGCCGAGGTTTTCTTGCGGCACCATGTCTTCTTCTGAGAAGGAGTTCGCCCCGCTGAGCCTGTCCACCGTCCGCGCGCTCAACGACAAGCTGTACGAGAAGAGGAAAGTCGCTGCGCTGGAGATCGAAAAGTGAGTGGAAGGGGTGGGAGGGGGGCGAGAACGATTGTGTAAGATTAGTGTAAGATCATCAGTCACCAAGTGTTAAATAGCTAGTTCCTAGAGAGACAATTGACTCTGAACTGAACCAAGTGTAAACCAGCACTGAGAGACCACGTCTGGCGAGATATTAAACGTTAAACAAGGACGACAACAACAACGATTTGACGCAGTACTATAAAACTGCCGGGTGTTACATCAAATTTTGTTTTTCACAGCGTTTTTCACGTACGTACGTGTGATTGCTGAAGTGTATCGAATACTAGTATGATCGCGTAATAATTCCGTTATGATGGTATACGTAGCTAAACATGATATTACATATGTTACTACAGCGGTCATTCATAATATCATATATCATAAACCACAATCACTGCTATTCAGTAGTATTTGATTTTGAAACGTAACGTTACGTATGGTATCAAAACAACATGTAGATTCCGATTTTTTTTGCTATATAAAAAAAAAAGAGTACTACAAAATGAAAATTCACGTGTAATTATTATGTTAATATGCAATGTGTGCAGGGAAAATCTTTTCCAACATTATTTATAATGCGTACGTGCAGTTGGCCTATTATGGTATGTGCAGAAGTCAGTGGTCAAGTGCCACTTCTGAATTGGTAAGCCTACTTGCCGGAATACACCAGAATACACCGAAACACAAGTATAAGATATATAGAGGTACAAGTTATCATATAGATATCATATTTAGGGATTTTCTTGTACACAGCCAGGGATTTTTCCTATACCTTGCTCAAGTTTTGATATCTATCAGACACCTTCCTCAGAACTTCTGACCCCTTCTTACTTAAGTAATGCCTCTCGCTGCTCTATGTATATAGCTGATGTACCAGTAATGTAGGTGGCACTTTTATGGCAAGAACATAAGCTCTGAGGAAGGTGTCTGATAGACATATCGAAACCTAAACAAGGTAGGTCAAATTCTAGGCTGTGTACAAGAACATCCCAATGTCCTATGTTCTACCAACCTGTTGGAATTATTTTTTTAAATCTTGATCCTTCAGAATTCTTACTTACTTTACTTTACCCGTCCACTTCTACCATCTGGGGTGTCGTGGGGAGGTACAGTTGGTGGTTCAGAATTTTCAGAATTCTAAGTAATCTAATGTGTTCCTCAGAATGGTAAAGGAGTTCTCCACAGCGAACAACAGTTCCCAGATCCAACAGCTGATCCGAGTCCTGACTGATGAGTTTGCCGTGTCCAACAATCCTCACAGCAGGAAAGGGGGCCTCATCGGCCTGGCAGCTTGTGCAATCGCTCTGGGAAAGGTATGATATTGAATGAAAATGTATTATTACTAAATAAATATTACTAGTATTTTTATTCTCCTACACTTACATTTTTTTTAGAGAAAGGTCTGTTTAGTTTTATTCTGCCTGTCCTTTGTGCTGATTTAACATCTATTGATGTAAAACACATTGCCACTCAGAATCTGATGCTAAATCTGATAGTGAGTGAGAGTGACTTTCATCCGTTCATGATTTTATGTGTTACTGTGCATGGAAAACTGAATTGCTTCATTGAAATCATGTTTTTTTGCTGTCAAGAGGCTGAATGTACTAAATTACTTTGGTATGACTCGGCCGGGGATTGAACTCACGACCTACTGAATGCAAGGCGAGCACTCTACCCACTTGGCCATTGCAATGGAATATAAGGTGATTTACAGTACTATATGCATGTTTTCTAACAATCCCAGGAGTCAAGCATGTACCTGGACCCTCTGATTGACCCAGTCCTGGCGTGTTTCTCGGACCCGGACAGTCGTGTTCGCTACTACGCCTGCGAGGCTCTGTACAACATCGTCAAGGTGGCCAGGGGAGCTGTGCTGGGCAGGTTCAACGACATCTTTGATGGACTTAGCAAGGTTATCACATGTGCTTGTTTGCTTGTTTGAGCCTTTGTTTATTCCTTAGGCCATGTTGATTTGATTATATGGATGACATCCACGCGCACATGAATTTTCGGCCGTTTACAAAAAAAAAGTTTTCAACCATACTGTAAATCGAACAAAACAGTTGCAAAATTTTTTATACAATCACTCTTTTTGGTGACTTTCCTCTACATACAAATGTACATGTCAAGATCACTTGAGACATTTTTACAATGTATATAGTTCATTAGGAGGTTCTTCGGAGATCAGTAAAAATACCTTTGTTATGATATTAATGATGATTGTTTTTATCATGGTGAGAACATATTCTGTGCTGTTATTGATCATAATTACAATATGGTACTTTTCTCCACTGAAGCTTGCTGCAGATCCAGATCCAAACGTCAAGAATGGTTCTGAACTTCTAGATCGACTTCTCAAGGTATTATATTACTTCTACATTTAGCTTCTAATGACAAGGTCGATTTTAACCTTATTTACAAGCGAGAGACATTACTGTTGGGTAAGAAGAAAAATCCCAGCATCCTATATGTTCTACCAACCTTATGAAATTATTTTTTGGAAGAAGGCATCATAGTAATAGCAAGTCTTAATTTCCTTGAGAATCTCTATTGAAAGTTGATCTGAGATTGTTGATTGCTGCTGAGATAATCTATATCGTAGGATCATAATGAAATGGATTTCTGCCCTGTGATATTGTTTATTGAAGTTTAACTCCTGAGATGGAAAGCTTGAGCCACCAGTACCCTAGTAGGTCTTAGCTAGTAGATGGGTACTTTCCTGGTACAATGTATTTTAACTGCAAGGTTTGCTGACATTTACAGGACATCGTCTCAGAAAGCACGTCGTTTGACTTGGCCAGTTTCATGCCACTGCTGAGAGAGAGAATCTACACTAAGAACCAGTTTGCCAGGCAGTTTCTGGTGTCTTGGGTACGTATCAAATACACTTGTATCACAGTAGAAAGTTTGTGTAAAATTTAAAAGAAATAGACGTAAAACATCTGACAAACCTTACATTAAAAGTTCATCTGTGTTGGTATAAAACTATAATGCATTATGACAAAAAAGGCTAAAAACTTTATGTTTCAACACTAAGTAAATATTGACTTACCCAAATTCTGTGAACAAGGTTGACGAAATCTGGGTAAGGGATTTAGGCTCCTATCACCGTATAAATGAAATTTGTGTTTGAATAAAAATTAACAGAGCAGACCATATGCGAAGGTAAACACAAAGCAAATGTTACCTTAAAAGTTTCTAGTTACTAACATGTTGAATATTTCCCTTTTCTAGGTGACAGTGTTAGATTCCGTGCCAGATATCAACATGCTGGTGTACCTCCCCGAGTTCTTGGATGGACTCTTCCACATCCTGGCAGATCCCAGTAGAGAGGTTAGAAGGATGTAAGTACAAGTCTGGAGACCTGCTGACAGAGAACAGTTAGTTTTCCTTTCCTTTTTCACTTGAGTGGGGTCTTGTGGCATAACGGTAGAGTATTTGGGTCAGACCCAAGAGGTCCCGGGTTTGAATCCTGCCCGATGCCACCGATCTTGTGCCCTTGGGAAAGGCACTTAACACAACTTTCCTCACTTCACTCAGGTGTAAATGAGTACAAACAAACAAACAAAACAAAGTATGAAAGGTAGTCTAGAACACAAAGTCTGCTGTCCACGGCTTTAGTGACCTAGTCTCCACCAGACTCCTTTGCAGGCTGAATAAATACACAGTAGTAGAAATTGGCCTAAAAAGAAGCTGGCCAGGGGAGTTGGCCGGCCATAGTGTGTCCAGTTTGCTTGCATAGAGACATACTGGACCATCTATGGCCGGCCTACATGTACATGTATGTCTAAGTCTCTTATAAAAGGTGATTGATTCACTTTCCTTGTATGCCTCTGCCTTCATGACTTTCTGTCTTTATCTAATAGTTCTTATCTGTTGCTCCTCAGGTGTGAATCTGCCCTTGGAGAGTTCCTGAAGGGTATTAAGAAAAGTCCCAGCAGTGCCAACTTCAGCAACATGGTCAACATCCTCATCGTGCACTGTCAGGCACAAGGTCTGTATAGGCTAGGTGCCATTGTGGCATCTAGTTACACAACATTAGTGTAAACATCCATGAATAGTTTCATCAGTTTGGTAAGTCACTGAGTAAAGAGGCTCTTTTTACACAACCAAGTGTTTTATTCAGCCGATGTTTCATTGACCGTCTGTCACCTTCTTCAGGGCAATTCTGACTGGTTCTCATAGCACAGGAAACACAAAACACAGGCCCAACCTTAAAGATATTCAGGAAAGGGTCGCAGTCATTAGGTTGGGACATGTACATTACCGTGGTCCATTGTTCATTGTGCTTGTCAAAAAGAGCCAACGAACCTGTAAATACTGTACTTAGAGTCTGTCTTCTGACCAATGTTATGACCAGTGTTAGATTAACTCTTCAGTGAGCTAAAACTGCTTTTTTTCTTTCCTTTTTCCCAGATGAGTTGCTGCAGCTGACGGCCATCATGTGGCTGAAGGAGTTCATCCTGCTGTCCGGCCGCGCCATGCTGCCGTTTGCCGCCGGAATCCTCACCGCCGTGCTGCCGTGTGTGGCGTACGAGGACCACAGGAGAAAGAATATCCTTTTTCACTTCTGAGACGGAAGTACTCACTCATTCATGTCCGAATGCTTGGAGGAGAGCCCTGGCAAACAGTCCTCCATGTGCTTCTATTCTGCGTTGCTTTCCAGGCTGTAGTTAGGTTGTGTCCTGCATCTCTCAAGTCTGTTGTTAGGACATCCAGCCACTTCTGCCTTAGCCTGTCTCTGGGACAGAAGTACAGTACCTGTAAACCACTTTATCTTCATGGTACTTTAATATTCACGATTTTCATGGTCACTTCTGTATCGCAAATTTATCATTAATATCACATACAAATGATTTGCCCGCTTTCTTTCTTCTGCATCTGCCACCCCCATGAACATACAGTGGTCATTGAAAATGTGATCGTTGTGTAGCCCTATGTTGTAATAAAGTCGAGCATCATACTAGGAAGGTTTAAGAGAAGTGAGACTGTCCAGGATTTGACCTTGACCTTGCACACATATCAAGGACACGGCCATTGCCGTAAACAACAGCCTGCTGCGACTGATCACGACAGAGGACGACTTGTCCGTACCCACCAGCCCTGTGGAGGGGGAGGACAAGGATCAGGATAAGGAGAAGGAAAGAGACAAGGGGTCAGTTTTAAAGGCATCCAATGTGATTTCCGAGCAGCAAAACTGGAAATATTCTGGTTAAGGCAACCTTTATGATATTGACACATACTGCTTCACATTAGTACATTTCAATCAGTCTTTCATACATTTTGTACTTTGGGTATTCAAAACTGCAGAAACCACTTCTTAGTGGGGTGAAGCCATAAATATCAAAAGAAATGGGGGAAGTCTGAAGAACAATGTTCCCTTCCTCCACTGTCAAATGTATCATAAACAAACTTTGAGTGTTTATGTTGTAGGCAATCTAGTAACTGATTGTCTTTTAATCCATAAACTCTTGGTGGAATTATACTTGTGGTGGAAGAGATATATTAGAATTGACTATAATAAACATTTTCCAGGCTGGTCTTACATGTAAATGACAAACTCTTTTTCTTTCTCTTTTCTTTCTCTAGGTTCTTATCCTCTTTCTCTTACAAGTATGCCTACATCAATTTTTGCAACTTGATTTTTTTCCTGCTTTGTTGAACTTTTCTACTTTTGTTTGACACTGTTGTTTGCTACTGTTATTCCAAAACCATACCTACAGATGTAGTTTTTATATTTTTCAATTTCTTTTTCTTTTTTTTCTGTGTTAACAGTCAATAAGTTCTGAACTGGCATAAAAATTCTCCAGTTTTCTCAGTTAACATAGTACAAAGTTTCAAACTTGTGTATCAAATTTTCAACTGGTTTTCTTAACAAGAACTTTTTTCTCTCTCTAGGGACAAGGTTGAACTAGAACTTGCTCCAGTTGTGGATGTTCTGACTCGACACCTGCTCCATGAATCCATGTTGACCAGAATAGCTGTACTGCGCTGGATCTACAACCTCCATATCAAGATACCAAACAAGGTCGGTCCCTTGTGGTTAACAAAGTTCTTCGTATAAAAAATGATTTATGATATACAGAAATTATGATATAAAAAACGAATCTGTATCTGTATGGGTACAGTGGGTATATTTTCAGTTTCAGTTTTATTCAGATCCACAATTAGCCTCATAAGAGGCTATTCTTCCTGTGGTCTGCACATTCATATTTACATACATATATTTCAAACGTACAAAACATTACAAAATTAACAATACATGGCAAACTTACACAATTCACTATTTACAATCCAGTACTTTGCTAGTTGCCTATGTTATTCCACAACTGTGACATCCTGTATATAAAGCGCTTTATAGCGGGTATAACTGCCCTTCGGCGTAATGCACCAGCTTCGAAATCCTTTCTATAGACCATGATAGTTTATTTCTAAGCTGCTAGACTAACTTTTAAATCTGAGCACTTCTTTATACTGTCTATATGATTGAGTATGTCTCAGACATGTGTATTTTTTCTTCTGACATCAGATTTTCCGGCATGTGGATGAATTGTTCCCAGTTCTACTGAAGACTCTATCAGACAAGGCTGATGAAGTAAGTAATCTTTCCAATCAAACGATTTAATTTTTTGGTGCAAAGTGTTACTTCTACTAACTAAAGACATTATTTTGCTCATAGAACTGTAACCAAATCTTCAGTAATATTCGTGTTATAATCATAACATATGAATTGAATGTTTCTCTATATAATTATTATGATAATACAGGATAATACTGTATCGATTTTATCAAAATTGTAGGTACACTGTCTTACCTTTAAGTTATAAAGTTATAAGTATGTACATTCCACCACAAAAGTGTAGAATACATAACATTTCACCAACACATTCACTTACCATAATGGATAGTGCTAAGTACCAAGAACAGGCATGTTTACCTGTATGGATGGTATTCAGCACCAAGGACAGACATGTTTACCTGTGTGTGGATAGTGTTCAGAACTCACCAAGGACAGGCATGTTCATCTGTGTGTGGATAGTGTTCAGCACAAAGGACAGACATGTTTACCTGTGTATGGATAGTGTTAAAGAGGCCAGTAATACTATATAATGACCCCACCCTGCCGATATAAATTCGATAACATAAACTACCAGACTTCAGTCTTGTTCTGGCAGCCGTGCAGTGTACATGGGGGAGGCCTGTCTAAGACAGTTCAGCTTGCCAAGTAAAAATTTCTCTTCAAGACACTTTCAAATGAGACACACACACATATATAAGAAGCTATATTCACGAGTATCCAGAAATATGAAGTATACTGGCTTGCCATATTCTGACAGCTTGAGACTTTGGTTGACAGTTACATGCCCAGTTCTACATACAGAGCCTAAGTCCATACTGGTTTATCTGACTGCAAGTAGGCATCACATTTACAAGCCATATGTCAGACACAAAACTGCCAAAGCTAATTCAGTTGTGAGAAAGACAGATACAAGTAGACACTTTGAAAGTTTGATATAGCAAGGAAGGGTATTACATGTATATAGTAAGGGCGCCATATACATGTGCATGTATGTCATTGGATAAAACTTTGACAGGGCTGATTTGAAAGTTGGAATTTGTTCAAGATTGATTTTTCGAACTGAAAGTTGCGATTTCCTTGCTTATGTGGCTTCGTAACAAGTATCTGGGTCATTCTGCCTTTTGAAAATGTTACACTAAAAACCAGTAGATGATAAAAAATTTGAATCTTTGAAAACTGACCAGTATGCAAATGCTCCTGCCTTTGTTCTGAAGGATAGACAGTCTAGGATTTTTATGAGTTTATGGGCCAATTCACTATTCAATCTGCTGGGAAGGTCACAGTGGGAGCACTTCCTTATTGTTTTTACCCAGGGTAAAATACTGGCCGGTTTAAGCACCAAGGACAGACATGTTTACCTGTGTGTGGATAGTGTTCAGAACTCACCAAGGACAGGCATGTTCATCTGTGTGTGGATAGTGTTCAGCACTCACCAAGGACAGGCATGTTCATCTGTGTGTGGATAGTGTTCAGAACTCACCAAGGACAGGCATGTTCATCTGTGTGTGGATAGTGTTCAGCACAAAGGACAGACATGTTTACCTGTCTGTGGATGGTATTCAGCACCAAGGACAGACATGTTTACCTGTGTATGGATAGTGTTCAGCACCAAGGACAGACGTGTGTATACTATTTAGCACCAGGGATGACATTTACTGAAAGACTACATTAATAGTCCATGGTTTGTGAAGAAACACATTATACTTGTCTGCGTTGTTAACATGTATGAATCTAATTATTTGCAGGTTATCCTACTTGACCTTGAAGTTCTAGCAGAGATAGCGTCATCACCAGCTGGGCAGAGGGCACGACCTGCCGGGGAGAAGAGTGGGTCTAGCCAAAATCTAGCCACAGGTGGGCAGTCTTGTTTTTCCTTATGAATCTAAACATTTAAAGGAAAATATCCTGTTCAGGTAGGCATAAAAAAATGCCTGCAAAAGCTCCAATTTTACCTGCACAAAAGCTCCAATTTTACCTGCACTAACCTGCATATACCCAGTACATGGACCAGTGCAGGTTAGGTGCAGGTAGACGTCAGAAATACATGCACAGCTCCAATTCTACATGCACTAACCTGCATATACCCAGTACATGGACCAGTGCAGATTAGGTGCAGGTACACATGAAAAATGCCTGCAAAAGCTCCAATTTTTCGTGCACTAACCTGCAATGCATAAACCAGGTAGTACTTCAATACTAGTAATCCAGTGAACCCGATAAGTTCAATAAGCCAGTTGTATAATCCAGTGAACATGATTTGACGGAAGTTTTGTGTCCATCCTAGGTGGAGAGCCGTCATCCCCAGGAGTCATGATGAACACGTACTTCACCAAGTTCATGGTCAGCCTCATCAAACTGTTCAGCACAGACAAGGAGCTACTGGAGAACAGGGGGTCCTTCATTGTCAGGTACAGGAGGGGAAGAGCAAGTGTTACTTCATGTACATGGGGATTGTGGATATTAGATACTGTGACCACATTTGCAGATTATACATTTTTTTTGTAATACATACTGCGTCTGTGCAAAAGTGCAGTTTCTGTTAGATGCTTGGTCTATTTTGTGTCAGAATTTGATATGATATGCATAAGATACATGGATTTTATCCTCGGCTTGAATAAAAAATACAACCTTAACTTATACCATCTGTTGGAGTGCTGTGCTCCTTACTTTCCAGACTTTGTGCAGACCCAGTACGTTCTACCCATGTGCCAATAATGTGTCATGTGGTGTTGATGGCCTTGCAGTACATCTTTCAGATGGGGGATCAAGCGGTCATGGGTTCGAATCCTGTGCCTATTGCTGAATTTTGAGGCTATATTCCGAGCCCTGATGTTCCCTTGTACATTACAGACAGCTGTGCCTATTGCTGAATTTTGAGGCTATATTCCGAGCCCTGATGTTCCCTTGTACATTACAGACAGCTGTGCCTGTTGCTGAATTTTGAGGCTATATTCAAGTCCTGATGTTCCCTTGTATGTTACAGACAGCTGTGCCTGTTGCTGAATGATGTTCCCTTGTACATTACAGACAGCTGTGTCTGTTGCTGAATGCGGAGGCTATCTTCCGAGCGCTGGCAGAGATCCTGTTGGAAGAAGAGGACCTGCGGTTTGCTGCCATCATGGTGCAGACCCTCAACTCCATCCTGCTCACCTCCACGGAGCTGTTCGAGCTGAGAACACAACTCAAGGACCTCAAAACAAAGGTAGCAGCAGACACAAATCTTTAAGTAAATGCAGATTTTGGTTAGGGACGTCCTTTCAGATGGGACATAATGTAAATGTACAAATTTAGTCAAAATTTACAAATTTTGTCAAAAACTGCCCACTCTACCTCCAAGCCAAATTTCAGGTCATTTGACTGAAAAATGGCAGAGTTGAATCCATTTAAAGAAATGGCAGGAGAAGGAGGAGAAGAAACATGAGAGAAAGCATGGTGAAGCCATAACAAAACAAACTTTTTGTCTTCTTTGTTTCCAGGAGAGTTGTGACCTGTTCTGCTGCCTGTACCAGTCGTGGTGTCACAACCCCGTGGCCACAGTGTCTCTCTGTCTGCTCACACAGAACTACAGACACTCCTGCGACCTGCTGCAGCTCTTGTATCCTTCTTATAGTGATGTATGCTGTACATACATGGATCGAAATCACACCTGCTTTGGCAGGGTAGTGAAGTTAAATTGGAGCTGTGCAGGTATTTCTGATGTCTACCTGCACTGGTCCATGTACTGGGTATATGCAGGTTAGTGCAGGTAAAATTGGAGCTCTGCAAGTATTTCTGGTGTCTACATTGTACCTACACTTAACCTGCACCGGTCAATGTACTGCATTGGCTGTTACCAACAGTAAAAAGTACTATAAAAGAAATCATTGCTATGGTTTTTAGCATGATCCATACCTCCTAAATTCAGAGTGGTGCAGGTAAAATTTGAAGGCTGTTTTGTATTTTGTTGCTGATTCCTTGACGTGAGACCAGTGGTGATCTGGAGGTGACAGTCGAGTTCCTGACAGAGATAGACAAGTTGGTGCAGCTGATAGAATCTCCCATCTTTACATGTAAGTCACAACTTCAAAATGTGCATGGTAGTAAGTAACAATAAGTAACAATTGCCAAAATCAAGAACTGGAAGCTAGGATGATTTGCAAGATTTGCTGTTTCCTCACATCAGAAGAGTGGTCCAAATCTTTGTTCATTGAATAATACCTATCAGGTTTAACTGTTTGAGAAACTATTGTATTTTAGTGTTATTGTTACTAGTAATACAAGTTGATTCATCTATTGTCTTGTATGTCTACTATGTTAATTTTGTTGCACCCACATATCTTTCTGTCTGTCTAAATGTAGTTAAAGACCTTACGAAAGTCGCTGCACTTTTGTTGTGCCAATAAAGTTCTTCATTCATTGTTGTCTTTAAGGTTGGTACTCAACATTGTTTTTCAGACCTCAGACTACAGTTGCTGGATGCCCAACAGAATGCGTACCTGATCAAGGCCTTGTACGGACTCCTCATGCTGCTGCCTCAGAGTAGAGCCTTTGACACTCTCAGACACCGACTGGACTGTCTGCCAGCCTCACATCTCATTCCACAGCACCAAAGGTGAAATTGTGATGCATGTTTAAAGAGACTCATTTTACACAACCAAGTGTTTTATTCACAGCCGACACCTTCTTCAGGGCAATTCTTACTAGTTCACATTGCACAGCAGCACAGGTGTTGCTGCTATGGATGCATTCCCAAATGTACAATATTTACATATCTACAGGGAACTGTATCTACAATGCAGTCTCAAAGACACAGTGATACAGTAGATAGGTAGGTGACCTTTGGGGCCATAATGCCTAAACCAGTATCTCTTGAGATCTAGAGAACTCTAGGAAAAGTTAATTTTCAGTTTTCTTGAGAATGTTCCCCTTTAGGCTTTCACAGAATGAGTGAGCAGTGGCCAGCAAAGCAGACAAAGCACTGTTTTTTTTTCAAAATTAACAAATCAAATTACTGTGGCCTAACTTAACCCTAAAAACTTTTCCTCTCCCCCCACAGTGTCCAGGCACCTCCCCCTGAGCAGAGGGAGCATGTGACCAGAATTAACTTCCACCAGCTGATCCAACACTTCCAGCACGTCCAGGCCAAACACAGGACAGCCAAGCAACGGGTCAGGCCCAGACACACCGAGGACAGCACACACAGACTAGAGATGCCATGAACAGCACACCGAGGACAGCTAACACAGATCATGAACAGCACAAAAAGGACAGCTAACTCAAATCATGAACTGAGGATAGCTAATACAGACCATGAACAGCACAAAAATGACTTCTAACACAAATCATGAATAGCACACTGAGGACAGCTAACACAAATCATGAACAGCACAAGGACAGCTAACACTGATCATGAACAGCACAAAAAGGACAGCACACACAAACTAGAGATACCATGACCAGCACAAAAAGGACAGCTAACACAGGTCATGAATAGCACACTGAGGACAGCACACACAGACTAGAGATGCCATGAACAGCACACCAAGGACAGCTAACACAGATCATGAACAGCACAAAAAGGACAGCACACAGAGATGCCATGACTAGCACAAAATGGACTTCTAATACAAATGAACAGCACACTGAGGACAGCTAACACAAATCATGAACAGCTAACACAAATCATGAACAGCACAAAAAGGACAGCACACACAAACTAGAGATGCCATGACCAGCACAAAAAGGATAGCTAACACAAATCAAGAACAGCACACTGAGGATAGCTAACACAGATCATGAACTCATGCTAATGATAGCTAACACAGAACATGAACAGCACAAAAAGGATAGTACACACAAACTAGAGATGCCATGACCAGCACAAAAAGGACAGCAACACAGCTCATGAATAGCACACTGAGGACAGCTAACACCGATCATGAACAGCACACCATGGACAGCTAACACAGACCATGAACAGCACAATGAGGAGAGCTAACACAGGCCATGAATAGTACACTGAGGACAGCTAATCCTGACTATGAACAGCACAAAAAGGACTGCTAACACAAATCATGAACAGCACACTGAGGACAGCACACACAGGCCATGAATAGCACACTGAGGACCAGCAAACATGAACAGCACAAAAATGACTGCTAACACAAATCAGGAATAGTACACTGAAGACAGCTCGCACAGAAAGGACAGCACAGATAGACCGGGAATGAACAGCAGGAGTAAAAAAATAGCATGGTATCTGTCGGTGAAGGTTAGACATCCAGGTAATGAGATACAAAGAAAACAGTAACTGGCTAGTCAAACTAGAATCAAACTTGTTACATTTATAGGGGCCATCTTGATTTGAAAAGTTCTTGTAAAATTTAAGGATAGATTTGTTTTATCATTTTGTCCATTTAACCTAGTATGCACATATACTAAGAAGAAAAACCTGTTATATATTAAGCAAATTGTATTGTACATGAAAAGTAGTAGCTGGAAAGGTGCTTTATATGTTGTTACCTCTAAAAAATAAAGCCTTGCGAACAAGATAAAATAATACCATGAACAAAATGACCACAATTTATACATAATACAATGTATTTGAAGACAACGGGCCTGCAAAAAATTGTCTGCCAGCAAAACTTGTATACTATTACATTGCTTTTTGCAGTTGCCAAAAAGTTTTGAGAAATAAACTGAGCTCAGATTTGTATAGTTAATGTTTGCCAGGAGACATATTGTTAGTGCTAAAATTATTAGTCAAAGTGTCTTAGATTTTAATGTGGTTCTGTATACATACACATATACTTAAATGCTTTCTTTACTCTTGTATTCCAGTTAACATTATCTTTGCATAGGCATATAGGAATTTTCTATTAAGCTATTGTTATAGTTATTAATATACATGTACATATATATGACACAAAATGGATGAAAATGCCTAAAAAAGCTGAATTCATGTGCCCTGCATATACAATATGTACCCTGCTTGCCTTGGCAAATTAATGAATGAAAATTATAGCATAAAATATCATATCAAGATGAAGACATGTTTGCTGATAACTATGTACTCAAAAATTATAAAATGAGACATTAAAAAATCAAAATGCTTTTTATGACATCTAGTCACAGTTATTTCTGCAATAATCATCTCCGTCGTAAGGAGGTGCTTTTGATTCGTATAGGAAGGTACATGTAGACGTGGCCTAAATCTGTACTTTTATAACGCTGTGTATGGCCTATATTGTCATAATTGTACACATTATTCATAAATTTTCAGTGATGTTTTGTTAGTATATTGATGATGCTCCATATAGTATGAAAAAAACAATAATAAATACATTTACATCAACTCCAAATCCTTATATAAGACCGACTGTCCTCTTCCGATGAAAAGGCTCTTTTGTGTACAGACGCTGAATCAGAGGGGTTGGAAAGAGTCTACCAGGCTTCAGAGGCGGTTGAAAAGACTAGAAATTGGCCAAAAAGACAGGTAACATGCCAGGGGAGTTGGTCCGCTAAAGGAGTATGTCCGTACAGAGCGGTATTAATTTTGCGGACTAACTCCCCTAGCTATAGATTTAGACACTTACTTTGTGTTATTAAGAAGATCTTGAAGTTATTTTGTACAATGTTTCAAAAATTCGGGTAGGAATTTCGAATAAATTTCATTATCTGTTCTACTCTTTTCAGCCACCTCTGGAGCCTGGTAGAGGCTACTACCAACACTGACCACCCTGTAAACGTAAGGTATACGGGTATGCGTTACATCACCCACGTACACCTAATACATGAGTACATACACCTTATAAAGAATCACATTCCGTTAAACTTCTTAAACAATTGAGTTTCACCCCTGACCATGACGTAAGAGACCACCTACGCACGCATACCGTGGACCTTGCTCCCCCCCTTCCCGCCTTCAGAGAGCCCATTGTCCAGCCCCTTCCTGTGACTACGCCCAGAGTTCACAAAAAAGCTCCGCAAACGTGATACTAGCGATATATGGTGACGCGAAATGGTCGAGTGACATAAAACCATAGAGTCACGGAATCACGGAATTGATCTTTGGCTAGACGACATTGTGCCCTTGGAAAAGGCACTTCACATGACTTCCTTCACTCCACCCAGGTGTAAAATGGGTGCCTGACTTCAGTTAAGGAGGTAAAAGGTGGTGGAAGGAAAGGGATAGGCTCTGCCTTCATTTACCGTACCTTAGTCATAGTGGATTAACAACCCACTCCCCAGTCGGCATAAAACAAGTCTGAGACTACCTTCCCCTTACACTCCAAGCAGAGGTTGATGGGGGAAGATCGTTACCTTTTTATATGAATGAACTATATCATATATAGTATATGGCACGTTTTTTGGTCGCTACCTCCACCACCTTGGGTGGCAAATTGGACCCTCTTTGGCCAATGGATACTGCCTGGCCAATTTTGTACTGTCTTTTCGCCACCATAGGATCTGCTTGGAGATTACCTTTCCCTTACTAGCATGATATGGCAACACCCTCTACATCCAACCACAATTTGAAAATATTGTTGACGACTACTTAAACATACAATTATCAGGCGATAACCTGTCATAACGACTTGGGTCGGGTACGCCGCCTTGGAAACACGTACATGTTATCAACCGCCGGCCTCTTTTGTTGCGAGCGGAAAGCAATTAGAACATACCGATTGTGACGTTCCCGCCTCGCTATCTGGGGTAATTTATTAGACATTTCATTGGTGCCAGCATTTAGGTCAATGGAGGGGTAGACTTTGGACTCAATATGTCAGACCTTTTATAAGTTGACCCCTGCAACCCCTTGTCTCATCGCGTAGTAATTTTTCTCCATCATTTGAATCTCTCTCTGTCAGGGAGAGTTCGAGTTCGTATAGAGGCTGCGGTCGTCGCTGAAAGGTCCTCATTTTATGACTTCCTCTCCTACTATATCTACCACAATTGGCGGATCAAACTAGCTGACTCCAGCAACGTGTCTGTACTAAGGCGGTCCGTTTGCGTAACAGGTGTGTGCAAACACATCAATTACCTGACAAGTTTAAATCGGACACACCCAGGTCAGAGACAGAGAGACCCCTCCCACGACTCGCGTTCCGGTCTTGAGAGCGGACGCTCACGCCCCGACTTTTTACTCAGTCTTTCCCGACGACTTCGGACGCCACGAAGCGCGTCTCTGAGAGGAAAGTTTACGACGTTGGCCGATCGCGACCGACTGGAATGGTGGTCTCCAAAGTGCCGCTGGTTCTCTTCTTGCTTGCAGCGACCTTCGGTGAGTCCTTCGTTCGTTCGTTCTTTTCGTTCGTTTGCCCAGGCTTGGCGCTTTTGTAGCTCTTGTTTGTCCGTGTGTGTGTCTGACCCCTTAGCCTAGCGTTGCTAAAGCAGAACTCGAAGCACATATGCTGGCCATACTGTACATTTCTTAAGTTGTGTACATCTTAACAAAGAATATTAATATTTTACTAGCGTTCGGGTGCTTTTGCGACGCCTATCCACCTTTTGTGCGAAAAATTCTACACAAGCACAATAGTACATAGAATAACAGTTATCCAACACAAGGGTATGATAACGAATGGACAAAATACTAGACATGATTGCCAACAACTTTCCAATCAATTTAACAACAATTCGCGCAAGTTCACTACAGCCAGTATACCTATGTATGTAACGACACAAAACTACCACCACAAAAATCCAGTCTTCTTTCGAGGCATTTCATAGCCACGCACAATTTTATACATGTTGGGATCTTTCAGAAGGGTTTATATACATATTCTTATAAATTTTTTGTTCAGTTATAATAAAACGTAACGGTTTTTTTACACTATCACCAGTCAAATACGTATCGTGTTTCGTCCGCCTTATCTTCCTCGTATTGTTTTTCTCTGTGTACCAAAAGGAAAAGTTTGTCAAAACTGTCCACATCTTCGACCCTGTTAAGTCCACAAAGGACAAAAAAGACGTCAGCGACCGGTCAGCCTGTGTTGTTTTCATATAAACACTCGACATTGACACTTTTACATCCACTGTACAAAAACAATAGGCTGGTCACAAATTTACTAAAATAACGCGGGCTAATAAAAAATTCATGAATGTCGATGGTAAAACTATGTAATAGATCAAATCATAAATATCACCAATGCATAGCTCTAGGGCAAAATGTTTTTTTCGAAGCTATGATAGTGACTACAGTCGACGTGTGGCCATACACTTCACGGCCCTCAACAGAACATTTCACTCGATCAAACTCTACTTGACTTGCAATTGGGATCGATTTAACAATATTGATTGGTTAAACAAAATCAAAGATGACAATGACGTCGCGTTCGGTTGCAGACATAGTCCTATCAAAGTTTTTTCAAAGTGGTTTATCTAGACTGCTACATTGGAAATTTGGATATTGTAATTTTCTTATACACAACCAGTGATCCTACCTTGCTCACGTTTCGATGTCTATCAGACACTTTCCTCAAAGTAAGGTAAGAAGTACTAGTATCCCTGGTTGTTTATAGGAAAATCCTAATATCCCATGTTCTACCAATCTGATAGAATTAAATTATTTTTGGACTGTTTTATCTTGTTCGTGGATCTCAATATTGCTGAAAACAAATCATTTGCCCTGATCCAAACTCTAACCCATTCAGGCATAGAACTAGCTAGCT